TACATAAATACATAGACATCACGAACAAGAAAATAGTAACAAACACGCAAACAAAAATACAAAACAGAAACAGACTCACAGACATAGAAAACAAACTTATGGTTACTAGGGGAAGGGGGTGGGAAGGGATAAATAGGGAGTTTCAGATTTGCAGATACTAATATATATAAAATAGATAAACAAGAAGTTTATAGCACAGGGAATCATAGTCAGTATCTGGTAATCTATGGTGAAGAAGAAAAGGAGAACGAATGTAGGTATGTTCCTATGTGACTGAAGCATTGTGCTGTACACCAGAAACAGACACAACATTGTAAACTGACTGTACTTCAATAAAAAATATTTTTTAAAAATTTAAAAGAAATTTTAAAAAATTTTAATTAACAAAAGAAGCTATTTATGACAAACCCACAGCAAGCATAAAATACTCAATGGTGAAAAGCTAAAAGCCTTCTCATTAAAATCTGGAGCAAGACAGGGATGCGCACTCTCACCACTTCTCTTCAACAGTCTTGGAAGTCCTAGCCACAGGAATCAGGCAAGAAAAAGAAATAAAAGGGATACAAATGGGAAGAGAAGAGGTTAGAATTGTCACTGTATGTAGATGACATGGTCTATATATATAGAAAACCCTAAAAGCTCCATGCAAATACTACTTAAAGGTGATAAAAGAATTTGGCAAGGTAGCAGGATACAAGATGCACATACAAAAATCAGTAGCAAAAAATACAGAATTTAGTTGCATAACAATAATGAAAGAAATGGGAGATGAATATATCTCTCTCAACAAAAGATAGAACAGGTAGACAAAAACTTCAGTGATTATATGAAACGCATCAAACACAATTAAAATAGTTAACATATGTAGAACACTACTCCAGCCACAGAATACTTGTTCTCTTCAGATCATACGGAACATTTATCAGAATTAACCATATACCAGGATATAAAGCAAGCTTCAACAACTTTAAAATAACTGAAATAATTCACAATATGTTCTCTGATAAACACAAGCTGGAAAACACCCCAAAATTTTAGAAATTAGACAATACACTTGAAGTAATGCATCGAAAAAAGTAATCCATTAGAAAAAATAAAGGTGATAAAAGTACAGTATCTTAAACTTCACAAGTTATAGCTACATTAATACTAATGCTTAGAGAGGAATTCAAAGTCTCAAATATACATAACTGAAAAGCAAAAAAAAAAAAAGGCTGAAATCAATGTTCTAAGCTTCTTTACAAAGAAGCCAGAAACAGAATAGCAAATCCAACCCGAAGAAATAAGGAAATGAGGTAACTGAAAAAAAAAAAAAAGGAAGAGATCAATGAAATAAAATTCAAACATTCAATAATGGAAATCAATAAAACCAAAAGTAACTTCTTTGAAAAAGTAGTAAAAGTGATAAACGCTTAAGAAGATTGATCAAGAAAAAAAACAAGTTACTAATATCAAGAATGAAGATTATGTACAGCAAAGGAAACCATCAATAAAATGAAAAGGCAACCTACTGAATGGGAGAAAATATTTGCAAATCATGTATCTGATAATGGGTTAATATCCAACATATATAATGAACTCATACAACTCAACAGCAAAAAAAATGCCAAACAATCCAATTAAAAAATGGCCAGAAGATCTGAACAGACATTTTTCACGAAGACATACTGATGGCCAACAGGTACATGAAAGATGCCTAGTATCACTAATTATCACAGAAATGCAATCAAAACCATAATGAGATACATTATCTAATACCTGTTACAATGGTTAGTATCAAAAAGACGATAAATAAGAAGTGTCGGTGAGGATGTGGAAAAAAGGGAACTCACATGCACTGTTGGTGAGAATGTAAATTGGTGCAGCCACTGGGGAGAACAGTATGAAAGTTCCTCAAAAAATTAAATAAAAGAACTACCATATGATCCAGCAATTCCATTTCTGGGTATTTATCTGAAGGAAACAAAAAACATTATCTGGAAAAGATTTATGTACCTCTAAGTTCACTGTAGCATTACCTACAGTAGCCAAGATATTGAAGCAACTGAAGTCTTCATCAGTGGATGAACAGATGAAAAAGATGTGGTGTACATATAGGAATACTATTCTGCTATAAAAAAACAGTGGAATTATGCCATTTGTGACAACATGGATGGAACCTGAGGGAATTACGCTAAGTGAAACAGACAAAGAAAGACAAATATCGCATAATCTCACTTACATGTAGACACGGAAAAACAAACAAAAAACCCAAAAAGAAGAAACCAAGATCGTAGATTGGTGGCTGCCAGAGACGAGGGGTAGGGAGTGGGCAGAATGAGTGAAGGTCAAAGGTGGAAACTTCCAGTTTTATAATGACAAAGACAAATAAGTCATGAAAATATAATATATAGCCTACTGACTATAATTAATAATACTGAACTGCATATATGAAACTTGCTAAGGAGGTAAATTTAAAAGATCTCATCACACAAAAAATGTGTAACTATGTATGGTGATGGATGTTAACTAGACTTACTGCTGTGATCATTTTCCAATACACACAAACACCGAATCATTATATTGTAAACCTGAAACTAATGTTATAATGTCAATTGGACCTCAATTTAAAAGAAGACACTTTAAAAAATGAAATTATTCTGAACCTTTTGCCAATAAACTAGACTCTTACACATTTAGTGAAAAAATTCTTTGGAAAACACAACTTAACCAAAGCTTACACTAGAAGAAACAAAAAATTTAAATAGTCATATCTCATTAAAAAAAATTAAATATATTAAAAACCTCTGCTAAAATAATCAAAAGAACAACAACAAAAAAAGCCCAAGCATATTCTTCCAAACATTTAAAGAAGAAATATCAGCAAACTCACTCAAATTCTCTCAGAGAATGGGATATCTTTTCTAAATTAAGTTTTACAAGGTCAACAAAATCTTAATACTAAAACATGACAAGGGCATTATACGAAAAGAAAATTACACTCCAATTTCTCTTGCGACCATAGATGCAAAGATATGAACAAAATATTAGTAAATCATATCCAGTGATAGTAAAAATTATATACATATATATCTCACAACTAAGTGAAACTTATTCCAAGCATATAGGAGTGGCTTGATATTCAAGTCATTATAAGTGACATCAGTATAAAAGGGAAAAATCTTATTATTATCTGGTTATATGCAGAAACCTCATTTGATAAAATTTAATACCCATGCATGATAATAAGCAGCAAAGGAACAGAAGGCAACTTCCTTTCTCCGACAGAGTGTCTAGAAAAACCATTTACAGCAAACATACTTAGTGGTGAATTGCAGATTGCTTTCCACCAGGGATCATCTATGAGATAAGGAAGCCCATGATGATTGTGTCTGTTCAACATTGTGCTGGATGTCACAATCGATGTAACAAAGAAAGAAAAAGACATAAAAATGAAAAGGATTGGAAGGAGTTAAAAACTCATTTTTCACAAAAGATATGAATGTATATTTAAAACCCA